CACAACTCGACCACCTAGAAATATATTTTGCCCTTTCTGCCCCCCCCCTTCACTATTTTTTATGGTGCTGTAACTGGGCGAAATTGGTAGCCTTGGGTTCCACCACGCACCAACCCCATCTCGAATTTCTCGAGGGTTTGCCTTGTGGAAGGGGAGTCACCAGATATTTAGTTGCATGTCGTGATCGGTATGAAAGTTGTACAACTCGGGGGTGGGGGTGGAGGGAAGGGCATGTGGGATGCGTGTTTTTTGTTTCTGTATTAAAAATGCAATTAAAATTTTTTTTTAAAGGTTGTTAAGGGATTTACATACTGATATTAACAGAATTTCACCATTCCTGCTATAGATCTTAATCACTTAGTCAATACAGTGGTACCTCGGGTTAAGTACTTAATTCAAAGCGATATAAGCGATGAGGCTTGGATTTCACATTTTACTGCTGTTTTTTATTATCACCAAGTTTGTAAAAAGGAAAATTTTAAATTTTCTCTGGCAAAAACCACACAATTTCAAATTACTGTTGAGGAGATGAAAAGGATAATTTTTTCATTTAAGCAAGGGAAATCACCTGGTATGGATGGCATTCCAATAGACCTGTTGAGATTAGATGTAGAATGGTGGGCCATAAAACTTGTGCCACTTTTTAATTCTATCTATCAATCAGCCCTTGTACCTAAGTCGTGGAACAACTCAATAGTGGTACCGATCTTTAAAAAAGGTGATAGGAATTGCCAAGAGAATTACAGACCTATAAGTTTGTTACCATGCATAAGTAAAATCTATGCCAAATCTCTGCTTATTAAATTGGAAGAATGGATGCTGACAAAAGGTCTACCTGGTAAAGAGCAGGCTGGTTTTAAGGCAGGCTCATCAACTCTTGACCAGTGTCTAGTGTTAAGTCATCTTGTGGATAAATATGTCATGAGAAATAATCGAAAACTCTTTGTGGCATTTGTGGATTTAAAAAGTGCCTTTGATTCGGTCGACCGCAACAAACTATGGACTAAACTAGAACACCTTGGTATCGACCCATATCTACTTACACTGATTCAAAGTTTACATTCAAATAACCAAATATATGTTAAAGTATCAAAAGATGGTAGACTTGCAGGTCCTATTCTGAATAATCGAGGAGTTAGGCAAGGCTGTATCTTGGCCCCTACCCTATTTAATCTATTTTTATCTGACCTACCATTATTTCTTCAAAACGCAACCACTCATACTCCTTATTTAAACAATAGCCCACTCTTTTTATTACTTTATGCAGATGATGCTGTAATTATTTCACTCTCTGTTTTGGGTTTAAAAAAATTATTTAAGAGTTTCTCAAACTACTGCTCTCTCAATAATCTCAAAATTAATTATGATAAGACAAAGATTATGCAATTCAGAAAGAGAGGGAACCCAAAAGGCTGTATAATTAATGGACATCTAATACAGGAAGTTAAGCACTTCAATTATCTGGGAATCACATTCAAAAATAATATGAATTGGAATACACATATATGTGCTGCAATAGTTAAGGCCAAAGTGACAGCCCACCATATTAAATCCTATTTTTTCTCTCCAGTTGGAAACAGATTTATTCCAGCTGTATTGCAAGTGATTGACATGAAACTTTGTGCCCAACTTCTATACGGCACACCAGTGTGGATTTCAGGTGACCTCAAGAGGTTGGACAAATTTCACGCATCCCTTCTGAGGTCATTATTAGGACTTGCAAACTCTGTAAAATATGAAACAATATGTTGTGAGCTGGGAATATTGCCTTTATCAGTAAGAGCATGGCTGAGGACCTTGAAATATTGGATCTTCCTCCATTATAGAGCCCTATCCCCTAATTCTCTACTTTACGAACTTTTAAGTGATAGTGCAATCTACAATCTATCATTGATTTGTAGGAGAAAATTGGATTTGATAGGGCTCACTCTAACTGACTTTGAAATCTCTGATCCCAAAGAAACATGGGAAATTATCAGGAAGACTCTTATAGAAAAAAGTGTTCTCGCCATGCTTGAGGTTGCAAAGCACAGCACCTGCTCTCCTATCCACTTAAATCTCCCTTTGTGTAGAGATTTCTAAAAGGGATACATGACAAATCTGAAGAAACATGAATCGCGTAGGCTGTTTATGTTGGCCAGATTTAACATGTTTCCCTCGGTGGTAGTGAGCGGAAGATACTTAGCTATCCCAGAATCAGAGCGTCTCTGCAAATGCAGAAAACAGGAACCTGATACTCTAGAGCATATATTCTTTTCCAGTGATTTTGGCAATTATGCCAGAAAACAATTATTTGAGGCCCTAAAATTTAATAGGCAGATTTTTACACAACCAACTGTTAAGGACCTGCTGGCGGACAGTGATGATCAAATTACCTTAATAGTGGCTGAATTTTTAAGTGCTGTCCAAGAAGAAAGAATGGGCCATGATAAAGAGACTTAGTGGTTCTTAATGGTAGGTGATGTTGCTGTGTTGTATTATATTATCTATGTATATCGATTTATTCCTTGGAGTTAAGAATAGGACTGGGATAAATTGTGTTCGCTGAGCCCGTATTTTATACAGTCTGTATATGATGTTTGTTTGATAATGTGTGGTGTGCTATGCCTAATAAAGGATTTTGAATTGAAGTACTTAATTCGTTCCGGAAGTCCGTTCTTAACCTGAAACTGTTCTTAACCTGAAGCACCACTTTAGCTAATAGCGCCTCCCGCTGCTGCCGCACTGCCACCGCACGATTTCTGTTCTATCCTGAAACAAAGTTCTTAACCCGAGGTACTATTTCTGGGTTAGCGGAGTCTGTAACCTGAAGCCTATGTAATCTGAAGAGGTGACCTGAGGTACCACTGTACTACAGATAGTCTGTAAGACGCTGAATAAAACAAGCAGAGACAGAAAAGCTGCTTTCTCTAAATGTGGAGTAGAAAACCTTTTTGGTTCCAAAGGCCAGATGCTTATCAGGATTGGCCTAGCATCCCTACCTGATAGGCTGGTGCAGCCAACTCTAGGTGATTTGGCGCTTTGAAGTCCCGAAGTTGGTAACTGTTTAGGGAAGTTTGTATTGTTTGATATTTTATCCCTTTTTCATTCTGTTGGGAGCTCCTCAGAGTGGCTGGGGAAACCCAGCCAGATGGGCAGGGTATAAATAACTTTGTTGTTGTTGTTGTTGTTGTTAACTTGGCATGCATGGCCAACTCAGCAGGCTAGACTTTGACACACAACCAGCACAATGTTGGCGCCAGAGCGTGCCAATACCCATATCTCTACCCCAACACCCCAACGAATCCAGAATGTTGTGAACAACACTGACAACATTGCTTATAAACATTTATACCCAACACAAGCGCCACAAAGGTGCTTAAGTCAGATGGTCCAAAACACCCCAAGTAAACACATATAGGACTACATATAGGCTACTTTCTGGAACCTACCTCCCACTCCTGTCATCAAGATACTCCTGTCATCAAGATACGCTGTTACTTTAAGCCATAGAACAAACTCCTAGAAGCCGAGGTCCTTTGCCCCCGCCCCCAATAAAATATTTGAGGGGCCGGCACTCCCAAAGTTGATCGGCATTGCCATTCAAATGTTGTCTGTGCACCTGGTCATGCGATCGACCCCCCCCCAAATTTTATTCAAGTTGCCACCCCTGCTTTCAGAGATCTCAACATGCGGTGCCTTGTCTTGCTACCTGTGGTTTCTGGTCTCTCCTCAACCCCCTCCCCCCAATCTATTACTACGGTAGCAATCCCAAGCCTCAAACCAACCTCCATTTACAAAATAGAAAAACAAATCAAACAAAAAACAATTATACCAAACAAAAACAAATCCCCAGCCCACTCAATATCCAACCCCAAACCAAAATAAAATGGAACAAAATAAAAATACATCAATAAAAACCACCGTTCATGGTGGTACAACAAAGTAGAAAGTAAAAACCCCTTTAAAACACTTTAAAATATATAAAAACATTTTTAGCATTTGCTGCAGCAACACCAGTGTCCTTAAAACTGTAGCGGTGGCGAGTGTGGGCCCCGCCCCCTAGGCCTGGTGGAGTGGGCCTACAGGAGGGAGCGGCCTTCCCCAACTCTCAGTGCAGCAGCAGCAGCAGCAGCTGTGTCCCAGTGCCTCAATGAGGCCTCTTAAGCTGTGGCTGTGGTGAGTCAGTCTGGGCCCTGCCCCCTGGGCCAGGTGGAATTAGCCTGAGGAGGGAGCGGCCTTCCCAACTCACAGTGCAGCAGCAGCAGCAGCAGCAGCAGCAGCGGTGTCCCAGTGCCTCATGAGGCCTCTTAAGCTGTGGCAGTGGTGAGTCAGTCTGTTGGGAGCTGCTCAGAGTGGCTGGGGAAACTTAGCCAGATGGGCAGGGTATAAATAACTTTGTTGTTGTTGTTGTTGTTAACTTGGCATGCATGGCCAACTCAGCAGGCTAGACTTTGACACACAACCAGCACAATGTTGGCGCCAGAGCGTGCCAATACCCATATCTCTACCCCAACACCCCAACAAATCCAGAATGTTGTGAACAACACTGACAACATTGCTTATAAACATTTATACCCAACACAAGCGCCACAAAGGTGCTTAAGTCAGATGGTCCAAAACGCCTCAAGTAAACACCTATAGGACTACATATAGGCTACTTTCTGGAACCTACCTCCCACTCTTTAATCCAAATCTAATTCTAACCCCCCCCCCTTTCTCCACTCATCACACTTTATGCCAGCGCAGCAAAGTTAGCTGGGATGTGAACTTCATGTGGTAGCCATTGATGACCCATTGATGATGCATTCCCAGGGACTCCTTTATTAAATAATTTTATGAAAGATTTTCTTGGTTTAAGAAAGTACATGCATTCTATCTCTTTTCATGTTGCAGAGTCCTTTTTTTTTTGCATCTGAATAGTGTTATATCCTGAATAAGGTTGTGGAAGAAGAAGTGGGGTGGAGAGGGAGGGTAATAGTTAGTGCATTTGTGGGGGGGTTATGTCAGCGTCACTTGGGTAGGTTCTATTCTATTCTAAAATATAATAAACGAACAATTCGTTTATTGTATTTAAGATCAGTTGCTGTTTTCGATTGCGCAACTTCTTTAGGCGCAACTTGGGATGCTGTTCCCTAGGCTACCGTAGATGCCGGGGGTTGTGGATGCCATGGAGCGTGCCCCGAAATTTGTGGGTGCCCAGCTCCTTCATGGGGAGTTTTGCGGGTGCTTGGGGACCCATGTCCCCCAGGGGGTTGGCACATATGCCGCCAACAGAGCAGGCACCGCTTCTGCGCATAGCCCAGCAGGCTGCCCCGGCTTCCCCGGCGTCCACGGCTTCACGGGCTCCCGCTCCCGCCCCTTTTCCGGCAACTTCTGCCCTCCCTTTTCCTTTCCTCGAGCCTCGTCGGAAGTTACGGTAGTTCGTGGTATCAGTGGTGAAGAGTGTGTCGGAAGGAGCGGGCGATGGCGGCAGTGCTGGTGCCAGAAGGAGCCGCCCGCGGGCGAAGGCAACGGGGGCGCACGGCGAGGAGGAGCCTTCTCCCGAGCCCTGCTGCTGCTGCTGTGGTGCTGCTGCTACTATCCTGCCCGTCGAGGCTGGCGGACGTTTCGGGTTCGTAGGCATTGGCGACGGCCGAGTGAGATGTGAGGGGTCCCAGGGTCAGGTGGGGAACTGGACGGTTGGGACGGTGGCGTGGGCATGGGGGGGGCTCTTTAAAGCCTTGCCCCCCTTAGAGGGCGAGGATGACTCACCCGCGCCGCAAAACACCCCCCTTACCCCTCCACTGCTGAACTCCTGTCATCAAGATACGCTGTTACTTTAAGCCATAGAACAAACTCCTAGAAGCCGAGGTCCCTTTGTCCCCGCCCCCAATAAAATATTTGAGGGGCCGGCACTCCCAAAGTTGATCGCCATTGCCATTCAAATGGTGTCTGTGCCCCTGGTCATGTGATCGATTCCCCCCCCCCCAATATTTTATTCAAGTTTCCACCCCTGCTTTCAGAGATCTCAACATGCGGTGCCTTGTCTTGCTACCTGTGGTTTCTGGTCTCTCCTCAGCCCCCTCCCCCCAATCTATTCATATTCCATCCTTTCTCCCTAATCTCCAATATTGCATTTTCCTCTGGTTGAGACGTTAAAACAGAAGGCCCTAATTCCCAACTGTGTTTCTTGCTGCAGTCCTACTGTCTACTCAGAAGTAAGGTCCTATTTGATTCAGCAGGGCTTACTCTCAGGTAAGTGCAGTTAGGGCTGCAGCCTTTGTGACCCAAGTTTTGGGTCCTTTTTAGGTTCAGGGTGTCACTGCTTTACACCCCCCCCAAATATTTGAAAACGTCAGCTTCGTACTTAAACACAAATTGGCCGGGAACTTCATTGTCTGTGACTTTATTAATTTCTTTAAAGAACAACAAACTGGTGATCGCTTTAACTTTTTGATATGTGGTGATTTGAATCATGAGGATGACTTGGAAGAACTGCTCAGTCTTGAATGTGTCTCGCATTGGAATTGAGGACTTCATTAGATTTTCTTCTGCCTTTTCATTTTATTTTGTTCTAGGGGCTTGTTAGAGATAATGTGCAAGCTTGGTGCAAGCTCCCTTAAAAAAAGGTCAGCAACTCTGGGAAGGGGGGGGGGGCAGAGGGATCTTTGCACCAAGGTGCCGGCGAGCTCCTGTCTTAATCCCCCCCTTCTCTATGAAGCATTCTCCTCCTGCGCTATACTTTGAAAATCTGACTTAGGGAGCTACATCAACCTCATAGGGGATATCTGACTGGATTTAGGGAGGAGGAGATGTGGGTGAGCAAAAGTTGATGGAGGAACACCTCATGTGCATAGGGGAATTAAAGGAGGAAGGAGGGGCTTAAAGGTAAAGGGACCCCTGACCATTAGGTCCAGTCGTGACCGACTCTGGGGTTGCGGCGCTCATCTTGCTTTACTGACTGAGGGAGCTGGCATACAGCTTCTGGGTCATGTGGCCAGCATGACTAAGCCGCTTCTGGCGAACCAGAGCAGCGCACGGAAACAATCCGGCCGGAGCGGTACCTATTTATCTATTTGCACTTAGACGTGCTTTCGAACTGCTAAGTTGGCAGGAGCAGGGACCGAGCAACGGGAGCTCACCCCGTCGCGGGGATTCAAACCACCGACCTTCTGATCGGCAAGTCTAAGGCTCTGTGGTTTAACCCACAGTGCCACCCGCGTCCCAAAGGAGGGGCTTAGGGTCCACATTAAGCCGAGGTCAGGTGCTTAGACATCAGCTGTGTGATTCGGTGTATTCGCCCCATCTTGCCCAGAGACAACAAATGGGTAAGCAAGAGCAAAACTCTGATGGGGTGAATGTGGGGAGAGGGAGAACCGTTGGCAGCTGATTTCATCAGGAGATTTGTGTAAATGTTCATATAATCATAAACTTGTATGTAGGGTTGGAAAGAACCGTGAGGATCACCTAAGTCCAGCTGCACTGCAAGGCAGAAATTCGTAGCTGTCCTCTGTGGGTATTCAACCTGCAGGCTGCTTTGGTGTTATCAGCGCCACATTCTAATCAACAGAGCTATTAAGACCCATGGGAAAAAACTACGGGATATTCAAGAACTATCTGTGAATCGCTTGCATGATAAACTGGGAACTCCGCTGTCTTTCTTGTGGAAGCCAACTCGCCTTGGGATAAGATTTTCTTTTGCAAGAAACAAGCCTTTTGGCAAGAGAAATCTGTTCAGCAAGATATGAGGCATTCTTCTTGGGAATGGTAACAACAGAAGTCCCTAAAATAAATAAATAAATTATTATTATATGCCACCACTGTGGCTAGAGTCTTATTGACACAAGGTGGAGAATGAGTATGAAGGGGCGGAGGAAGGGGGGTGCAGTGGGGGCAGGTTGCCCTGGCTGTCACCACTAAGGGGGGGGGTGACAAAATGCCTGGTGGCACTCACGGCAGGACCTCCAGTGCGTCCAGGAGAGATGCGGTGGCTTGGGCGCCCGCAGGCTCCACGCTGCCCCAAATGGTCTGCCTGCTGCCTCGCCCTCAGCTGTAGGGTGGCTGAATGTGAGGAGGCAGGCAGACTCCTTGGAGGTCCCACGGAGCCTCCTGCCCTGGCTCACCCCACCCCGTGGGGGTCTGGCCCTGCTGACATGGGTGGCTCGCCCAGCCCCTGGGCGCAGGGCATGTGTGCAGCCCCAGGTGCCCGATCGGCTTCCTCTGCCGCTGCAAGTATGGTGCCCACTAAGGAAAAGTGGCTGTTTAAAATGCTTGAATATGCTGAATTGGCAGGCATAACAAACAGGGTAAGAGAAAAGGATGATAAAGAAAATAAGGAGCACTGCAAAATGTTTATTGAAGATTTTAAGAACCAGTATAAACAAGTAAGGAACGTGGGTGGCGCTGTGGATGAAACCACAGAGCCTAGGCCTTGCTGATCAGAAGGTCGGCGGTTCACATCCCTGCGACGGGGTGAGCTCCCATTGCTCAGTCCCTGCTCCTGCCAACCTAGCAGTTCGAAAGCACATCAAGTGCAAGTAGATAAATAGGTACCGCTCCAACGGGAAGGTAAACAGCATTTCTGTGTGCTGCTCTGGTTCGCCAGAAGTGGCTTAGTCATGCTCGCCACATGACCTGGAAGCTGTACACCGGCTCCCTCGGCCAATAAAGCGAGATGAGCGCCACAACCCCAGAGTCGGCCACAACTGGACCTAATGGTCAGGGGTACCTTTACCTTTACTTTTATAAACAAGTAAATAACCTAGCAGGTCTTGAGTAAATCCTGCAGAAGAGCAGCTAATAGAAATTAACAGAGGAAGAAATTTGAAGATTACAAATTTTGGAATACGCGATTCAGTAGAAAATTAAAGAAACCAGGAAAAGTGTGGAACTAGATTTGCTAGTTCAGTGTTGCAAGTATATGCCTCAAAGTGTAAGGACTCTTAAGACAAGTTTGTAAAATGTTTTATTCAACCCAGTAGCAGGAGCGATGTGGCATTTGCTGGCGCCTGGGGCTCAGAGGGTAAACCAAACCTGCCATGCCAATGAGGATAGTCTGCCCCCCAAAGATGATGGGATCCCGTAAGCTTCCAAACTGCCTTCAACAAGTGTAATATGACCTTTACCAAATGTGCAATTGCAAAGGTGCCATTTTTTGTATGGTATAATGATATCCTGCCTCTCTTAAGATGTGAGATTTAATCTGTCTGGTTAGTGGTAGAATTCTATTAATGAGTTGCCCTCATTTTCTTCCAGGTTCCACATACTGCCCTGGTGCTAACGTCTCCATAGCAGAAGGTTCATCTGGGATGATCTTTGCTAATGTTTCCAGTTATCCCAACATTTTAATTTTAATTCATAAGAGCAGTTCATCTGATCCTGATGTTGACATTTTAGTCATAACTGGAGGAAAACTGAATCCCTACAATAGCTCATTCAAGGAACACTTCTATCTACGGGGAAATGACCTCTTTATCAATAACACCAACAAACAACTTGCTGGAGAATACCAACTTAAAGATATTTTGAGAAAAAATTGTTTCCATCGAGTCTTCCTTAGCGTACCTGGTGAGGTTCTGAAGTTACTGTCAAATGGATTCACCACTGGGGGTGGGGTTGGGGGAGGAGGTCGGGGGGGGGGAACAGCTGCTTGCATGAATTTCTTTTTGGTTTGCATTTGTTCCTATCAGTTATTCTTATTAATAATAGAATTTACTACCCACACTTCTCCATAAAATCTCAGGGCAGGTTTTTTAAAAATATAAAAATATTCTATTATAAGAATTTCATTTATTAAAAGACAAAGTGAGAAAGAAAGAAAGGGAGTTGAAAACAAAAACAAAGAAGTAACAAGATAGTAGGAATACACACACCTGTATACTGATGTACGGTAAGGTAAGAGTACAGATCTCAGGGTAGTTAACAACAAAACAAAAATACATTTCTTGCATCGCATTATCATATCATGCTTCCCTACTATTTTGATAGCTACTCTTGCCCTATTTTAAATAAATGCATCTTTTTTTTATTTCTAGAACCTTGGCACTGCCCTTCAGCTAATCTTTCCATACCAGAAGGTGCATCTGGGACGATCATTCCTAATCATATATTGAACCATTCCAATAGTCTTGCTTTGTACAAGAAGAACCACTCCTCCTCTTCTTGGCAATACATCTTGAGCACAGACAAGGGGCACCTGAATCACAGTGTCAACACGTATGAAGAGCACTTCCATATATCTGACAGTGGCCTTACTATCAAGAATGCTTATGAAGGACTCGCTGGAGAGTACCAGCTTGTTCATCGGCAAAATGGATCCTGTGTGCTTCAGTTCTTCCTTAATATACCTGGTAAGTTTCTGATGTGATTGACATCTACCGTATTTTTCGTCCTATAGGACGCACCGTCCCATAAGACGCACCTAGTTTTTTTGGGGGGGAAATAAAGGGGAAAAAATTATTTCCCCTCCAGGCGCGGGGCTGGGGCAGCCTGAGCTTCCCCCGACCCCAGCCCCCAAACAGGCAGCTCTCTGCAAGCCGTGGGAGCCCAGCGGTGGCTCCCGCTGCTTGCCGAGAGATCCGCGAAGCCTGCACGCGCTGAGATCAGCGCGCGCAGGCTTCGGGATGCCGGCAACTCTCCCCAAGCAGCGGGCGCGTTCCCGCTGCTCGAGGAGAGATCTGCGAAGCCTGCACACGCTGATCTCAGCGTGCACAGGCTTCGGCATGGAGGCAACTCTACCCAAGCAGCGGGAGCGTTCCCGCTGCTTGAGGAGAGATCCGTGAAGCCTGCACGCGCTGAGATCAGCGCGCGCAGGCTTAGGGATGCCGGCACCTCTCCCCAAGCAGCGGGAGCGTTCCCGCTGCTTGAGGAGAGATCCGCGAAGCCTGCATGCGCTGAGATCAGTGCGCGCAGGCTTAGGGATGCCGGCAACTCTCCCCAAGCAGCGGGAGCGTTCCTGCTGCTCGAGGAGAGATCCGTGAAGCCTGCACGCGCTGATCTCAGCGCGCGCAGGCTTCGGGATGCAGGCAACTCTCCCCAAGCAGCGGGAGCGTTCCCGCTGCTTGCCGAGAGGTCCGCGAAGCCTGGAGAGCGAGAGGGGTCGGTGCGCACCTACCGCTCTCGCTCTCCAGGCTTCAGCGAAAGCCTGCATTCGCCCCATAGGATGCACCCACATTTCCCCTTCATTTTTGGAGGGGAAAAAGTGCGGCCTATAGGGCGAAAAATACGGTAGATTCACAGCCACTGGGGGATGAGACACTGGTTCCTTTTATTCATTTCTGTTTGTTATGTATTTGTTCTGTTCAAGGAGCTTTAGAGGTTTCCCAGATTCAAGGTGTTGCTTGAGGATGCTCCTAGAGTTCTTATTTCTGGGCAAAGGTGCCCTTCATAGTGCTATAAAATCATGTATCTCTTAAGACACCATCCATTTTGTCTTATTCATAGTTTCATATGAAAACCATTAATAAGTTGCTTTCTATCTGCACTTTCCATGATTTGTCCTTCTGAAAACTTCTGCATACTAGAAGGTTCCTCTAGGATGATCATTTCTAATATATCAATCCATTCCCTGCTACAAGCTCCCCATATCTGATATAATTCAGCCCCTAATTCATGGCATGGATATTTTTCTTAAAAAGCAAATACAAAACTAAAACCTGCTATAAAAGTCAGCAGTTGAATCCATAGGCTTGCAAATAACTTGTGACCCACCAAGAAGAGCCACAGATCACTAGCGATGTATTATGGACTGCATCAAAATACTTTTTACTCAGATATACTTACTGAAATGAATGGACCTATGTTAATCACTTCTGTTAATTTGAATGGGTCTGCTATGACTAGCAATGGAAGGAACTCTATTTGGGGTGGTTGTCAGTTTTTGTAGGGAATGCGGGTGGCACTGTGCTCTAAACCGCAGAGCCTGGGTCTTGCCGATCAAAAGGTTGGCAGTTTGAATCCCCACGACGGGATGAGCGCCCGTTCCTCGGTCCCTGCTCCTGCCCACCTAGCAGTTTGAAAGCATGAAGTGCAAGTAGATAAATAGGTACCGCTCCAGTGGGAAGGTAAATGGCATTTCCGTGCGCTGCTCTGGTTGGCCAGATGCTGGCCACATGACCCGGAAGCTGTATGCTGGCTCCCTCGGCCAGTAAAGCGAGATGAGTGCTGCAACCCCAGAGTCGTCCATGACTGGACCTAACGGTCAGGGGTTCCTTTACCTTTACTTTTAAAAGCCAGGGTGGATAAGTGGTCAGAATGTCACACTAGACCTGAGAAAATCAAGGTTCAAATCCCTGCTCAGACATGAAGATCATTGTGTGATCCTTAGCTAGTCACTAACTCTTCAGCCCACCTCACATTGTTGTAGGAATAATAAAATGGATCTTGGAGGGAGGCATGCTTGCTGCCTTATGCTCCATCTATAACTGAGACCTGAGTGGGGCAACAAGGAGAATTTGCCTCTCACACTTAATTCCTTCTGGGTTTTCAGCACAGCATTAGAGCGGACCTGGAGGATCAGGGTGGGGGAGTTGCTGTAGTCCATAGAAATTCAGTCTTCCTCTCAAGGCTTCCAGCTTGATGAACCCAATAGCTGAGGGCAATGGAGCAAGCGGGAAGATGGCAATAATGCAAGTGGGCGAAGACTCCCAGTAAATACAATCAAACCCAATTGTGTGCTCACTGTCAAGCCTATTTTGTGGTGGTAAAGGCAATGAAAAAGATTTCCTTCTCTTCCTCAGTTGTGTCCTTGATGTCTAGCACACCTTACAGGCAGTGTGAGACCTTTTTATATACTGGCCCAAAGGTGGATCCCCCAGTAGTTCTCTCAGTAATATTGAGGATACAATCACTTGTAGAGACCCAGATTCTGCTATTATAGCAAGTCACTTTGAGGTGTCTAGGCAGTATTCTGGCCAGGTGTTAATGGATGATTCCCCATTGATAAGGCTCAAGGATGTGGGCAAGGTGCTTGGATGGTCACAAGGTGGCTACAACGCTTCATGGCTCATCTTATCTGACAGGGATGGGACACTAGTGATGCCAAGGAAGTAAACAAATGCCTCTCTGAGAGGAGAGACCACTCCTTAAGAAACCCTCCCTGAGCTCAGAAGATCTGAATCATGATAGCCTGCTTGCAAATGTCTCTTCCTAGGCAAGGTTTTTGAGCAGGCAGTTCCTGAACTCCAGACTACTTGGATGAGATTAATGTTGTACTCAGGCCCATTTCTGGCCCTGAGATGGCCTTGGTTGCCCTGTATGCAGGAGACACTGGTGGGAAGGAGCTTAGCATTCCACTGGGCCTCCTGGCCAGTGCCGGATTTACGCCCCACTCACTTGGGGGCCTCAAAAAAAACTTAAAGGAAACAGAACCTGGATATATTCAACACAAAAAAACAGTGACAATTAGTTGTTGACAAAGGACAGCTGGACATATAAAGGGCCCCATTACCTTCAGTAGCTTTGGGCCTCATCAAACCTAAATCCGGCCTTGCTCCTGGCACCAGCATCTGTCTTACTCAAGCTTACTTCAGCGGGTGAGGTGAGAAGTCAGCCTTATTAGCAATATGTTTGTGTATTTTTATTGTATTTTTACTTTAGCTGTAAATCCTTTGGGGGCTTGTTGTCATGGGAAGTGATATATAAACCTAAACCTAACCTTTGAAGGAGAGGCATGCTATAAAGGCAACACAAAATAAATAATAGACTCATACCAGTAGACATTAAGACAGATTTGTTGTGCCTCCTGCCATAATGGCTGAAAGCTCAGCTGGTAGAGCATGAGACTCTTGATCTCAGGGTCATGGGTTCAAGTTGGGCCAAAGACTCCTACATTGCATGAGGCTGGACTAGATGGCCCCTGTGGTCCCTTCCAACTCTACAGATCTATGATTTTAAGGCACAGAGGTCTGTTTCTATCTAGCCTTCTTGGTGGGGTGGAATTAATGCCGCACATAGCTCTTTCCACGGTACAGCTGCACTTAAAGGGTGTCAGAAGCATGACCACTGACTTTTTTCTATTTTCTAGTTTCAGGACGCAGACATGATTGTGCTTACGCCGCAGTAGGGCTTGCCATCTTTTTGGTGCTCTGTTTCACAGTGTGTATATGTTGGAAACGGAAAAGGAGAGACAACGACACTGCTCAACTTGCTGGTGGCTTGGCAAATGGAACTCTGCCTCCTGGGTCACCAGAGGTGCAAGAAAGCAGCGCAGACCCGCCCCAGGAGAGAAGAAGAAGAAGAAGAGATTGGATTTGATATCCCTCTTTATCACTACCCGAAGGAGTATCAAAGCGGCTAACAATCTGCTTTCCCTTCCTCCCCCCCAAACAAACACTCTGTGTGGTGAGTGGGCTGGAGAGACCTCAAAGAAGTGTGACTAGCCCAAGGTCACCCAGCAGCTGCATGTGGAGGATCAGGGAATCGAACCCGGTTCACAGAAAATGGGAACTCTTTTCCTCATGAATGCGCCCTCCTGCATTCGCCCTCCTGCCTGTACCATTTTTAAAAGACCAAGTGGCCTTGAAGTGTATTTTCTTGTGAATTGCACAAAACCATGGGAAGTAGTTCGAGGGCATCAGCTCTGCTGAAAGACCAGCATTTGAGTTCAGTTCCCCCAAGCAAGGAAGCCTCACACTCTCCCGTTGGAGGAGACCCTGGTGCCAACTCAGGCAGAGTCTGCTCCTATGAGACACTGACTCAAACAGAAAGTGTTAGGCTATTGTTCCGTTCCACCTTTAGAACAGGCATGTGGAGTTGTTGTATGTCACATGTCTGTTGACTTCCAGCACAGCCTGCTGGGAACTTCCGCTGCATATAGCTTTTGCTTGGACACGAAGGGAAGCGGACATGTTTTTCCTTTGTCCTAATGCTGAATAAAATGCTTGTAAATATGCTTACATATGCCTCTGTCCACCCTTCCGTTGCAAAGAGTTCTTATCTCTGCTGGCTTGCATGCTCAGTCTCTAAAGGTTTCTGAGGCTTGAGTCACAGTTTCGATGCCGTTCTGAGAACTGGAGTTCGCCCGGCTGCCGGCCAGTGGGCTGGAGCCAGCTGGAGCTCTGCTAATTGCCCCCGTCTCCCCAGATGCATCCCAACAGAAAGGACCTGAAGGACCAGGTGCGCAGCCTGGGAGTCATTCTGAACTCACAGCTGTCCATAGAGGCGCAGGTCAATTCTGTGTCCAGGGCATCTGTCTACCAGCTGAGACCCTACCTGCCTGCGGACTGTCTCACCAGAGTGGTGCATGCTCTGGTTATCTCCCGCTTGAACTACTGCAATGTGCTCTACGTGGGGCTACCTTTGAAGGTGACCCAGAAACTACAACTAATCCAGAATGTAGCAGCTAGACTGGTGGCTTGGAGTGGCTGCTGGGACCATATAGCACCAGTCCTAAAGGATCTTCACTGACTCCCATTACATTTCTGAGCACAAATCAAAGAGTTGGGTCTGACTTTTAAAGCCCTAAACAGCCTCTGCCCAGTATACCCAAAGTGCATCTCCACCCCCAGCATTCTGGCCGGACACTGAGGTCCAGCTCCGAGGGCCTTCTGGCAGATCCCTCACTGAAAGAAGTGAGGTTGCAGGGAACCAGGCAGAGGGCCTTCTCGGTAGTGGCACCCTCCCTGTGGAACGCCCTCCCACCAGATGTCAAAGAGAACAACTACCAGACTTTTAGAAGACATCTGAAGGCAGCCCTGTTTAGGGAAGCTTTTAATGTTTGATGGATTACAGTATTTTAATATGTTTTTTGGAAGCCGCCCAGAGTGGCTGGGGAAGCCCAGCCAGATGGGCGGGGTATAAATAATGAATTATTGTTATTGTTATTGTTATTGTTATTGTTATTGTTATTGTTAATTATTAGGAAGCTCCAAGTGAGCAAATTCCTCTAACAGAGGCTGGACATGCACCAAAATTTACCCCCCCCCCAACTTTTACAAACATTTTAGCCAGAAAAACAAGGTCTTTACAAATCTACTGTACTTTCCCCTCAACTTCCTTCCCCTCCCTTTTTTAAGTTGTTGTTGTTATTAGGGCCCTCGTATTTACAGGACCACCCCTCCTGGTCTGCCCCTCAGAGGACCTTAAGGTCCATGAATAACCATAGTTTAGAGGTCCCGGTCCCTAAGGAAGTCAGACTACCCTCCACCAGGGCCAGGGCCTTTTCAGTGATGGCTCTGACCTGATGGAATGCTCTGTCCCATGAGACCAGGGCTCTTCAGGATTTAGCCTCCTCCCGTCGGGCCTGTAAGACAGAGCTATTCCGCCTGGCCTTTAATTTGAATTCAGCCTGATATTTTATTTCCCTTCTCTTCCCTCCCCCTCCCCTTTTATGAAGATCACCCGCTCTGAGACCCCACAGCTAATTCTCCCAAGTAGGACCAATTCAGCCAGCTAACCCTGGGGATTACCAAATTATTTTTGATTTTTATTGTTACTCATGTTTTTATATTGTATTTTATGCTGCTTTTACAATTAAGTGTTTTAAATTTGTTGTTAGCTGCCCTGAGCCCGGTTTTTGAACCGGGAAGGGCAGGGTATAATTATTATTATTATTATTATTATTATTATTATTATTATTATTATTATTATTATCATCAAATCAATAAGTAACCATACATAAATAATGAAAATGTGCACCCCACCACTGACACCATTCCATTATAACTCTCCAAACTCCCAGAATTTTGACATCCCTTGCGTTAGTTTAGCCCCTTTCCGTTTTAACAATACAAGTTCTACGAACACCCTCCATATCTCTTCAAAATCATTTCTGATGTTTGCATTTCTGAGGTTCCAGACAATGAAAACTAAAATTCTGGATGTTGGATACAAAAATATTCCTAGAGAACAGTGATTCGGCATCTGCTGATGTGATTCAGTTGGGGATAACACTATATGTAAGCTGTATGAAAACCCAAGGGCTAAATACTCAAATCCATTTGCTCATTTGTCACCCTCAAGTATCTTCTGTCTTGCTCAGTCAAACGGCTCAATACAAGCTCTATGTATTATGAGGATTTTATCACATCTAATTTAACATGCTTCTAAGATTGTTTGTTCACCTCTTCCCTTTTCTGCTTTTTGGCTGTAGCCAAAGGGACCAATAACATTTGTTTACATAATTTGTTTCAATTGTTTTTAATATGAAATTTTAACTTGTGGTAAGCTGCCCTGGGATCTATTGGTGAAGGGTGACCAGTGCCAGATTTACGTATAAGCAAAACAAGCTATAGCTTAGGGCCCCACTCTCTTGGGGGCCCCAAAAAATTTAAAGGAAAAAAAACAACCCTGGATGTACATTTCCAAAATATAAGATAAAAAACAAACAAAATAAAACCAACATACAGCAACAGTATTTTGTGTTGCATCGGCTCCTATGATGTCCATATTTTGTTATGTGCAAATGGCTTTAGATACCGTATTTTTTGCACCATTGGACGCACTTTTTTCCTCCTAAAAAGGAAGGGAAAATGCCTGTGCGTCTTATGGAGTGAATGTGTGGTCCCTGGAGCCAAATCGCTGTTGCCCTGCGCTGCTGGGGTGCTCTTCGGGGATGGGGGGAGGGGCCACGGTGCTCTGCCGGCAGCCTCCGCTTTCCCCTGAAGCTCCGACAAGGTTTGCAAGCAGAGGGAAGGCTGTGTGCTCCTGGGGTGGAGGGTGGGGGTGGGGAGCAGCAAATTGCTGTCTCTCAGTGCCTCCTAATTCAACTGCAAAAGATTGCCTAACTGGATTCTGAGCTCCATTTGAAGTTTAAAAATATTAAGTTTGGGGGTTTCTTCAAGTAGCAGTTTTGCAGAAATAGTCATAAATACATGCAAAGCATCTCCACAAACCAGTAATAGTGAGCTCAGCTAAAACTGAGCAGGCATCTAGCTCAGGAACAGATTAAACTGCAGAACTATAACCGGACATCCTGTGTGTTTGTGTGGGGACCATGTTCCTAGCAGCTAATCTTTATTGCTGAAAAGAGGCACTGATATTCCACTCCAAATCTATAATTCATTATACAAATTCTTACAAGTACAGTCCACCTATACCAAACCAAAAACATTGTGTTCTCTTGTTATTGAATGGAAGCTATTTATCTGCCCTCTTTTCCTCCTCAGTTCTTTGCTGAGTCACCCCATTTTGAATCTTCCTTTCAAAACAACCATGCCTGTTTTGAGAAAACTTCAGAGATTTAGGAACTGGAGCACAATCATTTGATCTCTTTGCTGTTCCTCCATACTCCAAGCCAGAGGTCGGCAACCCGCGGCTCCGGAGCCGCATGCGGCTCTTTTGCACCTTTGCCGCGGCTCCGCAGATCCTCGGGGACCCTGAGCAGAAAAGCAGAAGCGCCAGAAAGAGGAGGGGGATGGAGCTGGGCAGCCGAGCCGGGCAAAGCAGGGCAGCGGCGGCAGCGGAGCTCGAGAGGCGGCGGCTGCTAGGATGGAGGAGGTGGCGGCCAGAGAAGGGCTGCTGCTGCTGCTGCTGCTGCTTCTGCCGCCGGAGGCAAGTTCTGCCAGGCGGCTTCACGGCTCATAGCTTTCCCCGCCCACCCAGGTCACGCTCTCCTCAGCCCCGCGCGCGAGGCACCTGAGGCGAGGGGGAGAGAGAGCGCGCGGGGGAGAGAGAGCGCGTGCTCGAGATGGCGGGGCGGTGTGTGTGTGTGTGTGTGTGTGAGAGAGAGAGAGAGAGAGAGAGAGGTGTGGCGGTGGTGCTTCAGGATCTCCGTGTCGGCGCCCGCCCGCCCGCCCGCTGCGCACTTCCCCTGGAGGCCGGGGGGAAAGAGAGCCAAAGAGAGCCACAGAGCCGGAGCGGCAGGGAGACCGAGCAACCCACAGCCTCACGCCCCCCCCAGATGCTCCAGATATGGTTTACTTGGGCTCTATGACCAATTTTGACTTGGCTTATGCATGGACTCAAGATAAATGTGTTCCACTTGTTCGTGAAATTACGTTTGAGAATGGAGAGGAATTGACAGAAGAGGGTCTTCCTTTTCTTATACTCTTTCATATGAAAGATGACACAGAAAGTCTAGAGAAGTTCCAGCAGGAAGTTGCACGGCAGTTAATAAGTGAAAAGGGTACGATAAACTTTTTACATGCTGATTGTGACAAGTTCAGACATCCACTCCTCCACATTCAGAAGACTCCAGCAGACTGTCCTGTTATTGCTATTGACAGTTTTAGGCACATGTATGTCTTCCCAGACTTCAGCGATGTGGCTACTCCAGGTAAACTCAAGCAATTTGTACTAGATTTGCACTCTGGGAAACTGCACAGGGAATTTCACCATGGCCCAGATCCAACTGATGTAGCACCTGGTCAGCCACTTCAAGACATAGTAAGCAGCCCACCTGAAAGTTCATTCCAGAAGCTAGCACCCAGTGGACATAGATACACCTTATTGCGGGAAAAAGATGAACTCTGAAAGCTCGAAACCATCTCATAAGCCTTTCAAAACAGCAGCCGTGACTCCTGTGGGGTGGAAATAGGAAACCTATATTTTCATAAATTCTCTGTGTTTTTATTTTTAATCTTTTTTTTTCTTTGCTCCCTGCAGTTTGTAAATACGTTAGTGTCATTTTGGACAGCATCTTTCCAAAATTCTTATTTCATCAAACGGTTAAGTAAAACTTTTTTTAAAATCCAAATGAAGGTGTTGACATGGCCAGCAACATGCTGTTAACTTGCACTATCCCATTAACAGGACTTCTAGGTTTCCTTTGGTGTAATCTGACCGCCTTATCCTTTACTTCCACATGAACATCATTTTGTTAATTTGTTTATTGATGGGCTATTCTGGATACTTGGGAGGGAAATAAATTACAAAAATATCTATGTATTAATTTGTATAATGCCCTCTATGCACATGGTGCTTTGCAAAAATGGATATGAGAGGTACCATACCCCTCTTTGCTATCTGAAATAGACTCAGGGAAAAGAGAGAGAATGGGGGAAGGGGAAGAATGTGTGGTTATTTACATTTGGCTTGTTTTGCGGCTCCCAGTTTTTTTTTTCCCTTCGGAAACGGGTCCAAGTGGCTCTTTTTGTCTTAAAGGTTGCAGACCCCTGCTCCAAGCACTTCTCATTTGCACAGCCCTGGTTTCTCTCCCTGACTATTAATATTCTTGATTAATAACAGTAAAATGCTCAGATTTTAATTTTTGTGACTGCTGCCAATACTGACTTCCCAGTTGAAGGAAGGTGAGGACAGGTGACCTCACCTAGGCCTGAAGTCACACCCACCCCAAGCAGGCTCAAAGCTTCTCAAAGCTTTTCAAAATCATTTTCTCAGCAGCTAAGCATCAGAAACATTCCGCTTGCTGTAACTAAAAAGATTGCAACAAGGTAGAGAACAGAGCCCATTGTCTTCTCAGGCCTTTCTCAGAACCACATTGCAACTTGCTTTCTCTCCGGGAACCATGCCAAAGCACAAGAATGAAACAACGGGAACACTCAGAAAACCCCCTCACCCCCTTTCCTGCCAAGAGTCCACAATAGTCCCAAGACAGCTTTCTGCTCAGGAACCTCAACATGGGGCAGGACTCCTGAGGGGGGAGAAAGGAGGAGGGAACTGGAAAGGGGTATATATGCTTGTGCACATGATTGTGAACTTCGTGCATGCTTTTTGTGACTTATCACACTTGCTCCTTCTACCAGTTCATGGATGGTAGAAAATAAAACCTTTTTCTCCGAAACTATTCCTTGAGTGTTTGTTGACTCCCACTTCCCTTTCCCAGGCGCAATATTTTTCCCACCCGAGGGCAAAGCCTCATAAGGCTACACAGTGATAATGAAAACAGCTACATTATAATGGAATGTCTGTACTTTTTCCAATCTCTTCATACCGTGGCTCGCTTTAAAGCAGCAGTGGACAGGAGCCACCCACTTTGCTGTTTTAAATAGTTTAGTACAACATTTGAGTCAGATTTTTTCTTTTCTTATTTTCCTGCTCTAAAAACTTGGTGCGTCCTATGGAGCGAAAAATACGGTACCTATTGGCTCCATAAATTTCCATACAGCCTATATTCAACAACAAAAACAGCGACAATTTGTTGTTGACAAAGGACAGCTGGACATATAAAGGGCCCCATTACCTTCAGTAGCTTAGGGCCTCATCAAACCTAAATCCAGCCCTGAGGGTGGCTAATAATAATATTAATAACAGATAATTAATAATTGTTTTCTTTTTCAATATAAAGAACGTAATATAAAGGTTGTATGTTTGTTCAAGTAAAAACAAACCAACCCGACTTCACTGGTTTATTTTCTACAGTTCCTGTTCTGCAACGAACTCTGATACTGCATGTGGCCCTGCAGCAAGTCCCTCCTCCTCCTGCTGTTCTCCCCCACCCACAGAAAACAACAACCAAAAAATCTCTCCGATAACTCCAGGAAGCAGGGCTACTTCCTGCTGCAGGAAGCTCTCGGAGAAGTTTGAAAGAACAGCAACAATAATCTCAGCACTGATTTGGTTTTCCCCTCTCAACAACACAAGTCCTGGGTGCTGTAAGCTGAAGATGAACATCAGTTGGAGAAGGAGAGAAGAGAGAGGAATTAATTTATGGGAAGATTATTCATACACTCTCCCTTCCTGCACTCGGAGCATTAAGCGCCCCAAACGTTTATTTGCTTAATTACAGGTCTTTGCACAAATCAGCTCCTGGTGAGGAGCGCGCAGCAGCAGAATATGTGGCAACAGAGGTCACCCATCGACATGTCATCTCTAGCAAGGGCTAGATGCAAACCCTACTTGAATTCCTGAAGAGTCACTGCCTGTCAGTACAGTGGTACCTCAGGTTGCAGACGCTTCAGGTTACAGACTCCACTAACCCAGAAATAGTACCTCAGGTTAAGAACTTTGCTTCAGGATGAGAACAGAAAACGTGGTCCCACAGTGCAGTGGCAGCAGGAGGCCCCATTAGCTAAAGTGGTGCTTCAGGTTAAGAACAGTTTCGGTTTAAGAACGGACCTCCAGAACAAATTAAGTTCTTAACCCGAGGTACCACTGTACTTAGTCCTGAGCTGGAGGAACCAACTGTCTGGCATAGTCATAAGGAGGCTCCCTCTCTTCCTAAAAGGGCTTCCACAGTGGCTGCAGGGGTACAATGCACAACTGTCCCTTAATTCTGCAGTTGTCGGAAATGCAGATGAGAGAAAGAAAAGGTACAGGCTGGCATTTTGAGAAGGACGACGGACCCTGCGAAAAGCGCTCAAGAACCAAGCCCATAATAAACTCCCTCTTACCTCCAAAAAGCAAAGTCCCCCTTCTTGGCATCCGTTGCACTGTTCTGGTTGTCACAGCATATTGTCCAGTTTCTCCTAGAGAAGGGAGGAGAATCTGCGAGATGGGGGAGGTCAGGGAGCCAGCCTTGTTTATCCTTTTCCGGAGAGTCTTTGATGCCTGCTCACCTTGCAGCTCTTGAGTCCTGTCCAGCAAGGAGCTGAAGCTGGGTCCAGCCTGGACAGACAAGTGGATGCAGCGATAGGAAATGGTAGGGGCGTGTGTGTCTTCCTGGTGGCACAGTATTGCTCAGAATCATCCCCATGAACTTCACCGCGTGGCGTCTGGTGCCCATCTTCGCTTTCTCCCTCTGGCTGCTTCTTCTGGATCACTCTGGGCTTTCTCTCTTCTTTGGAGCCTCTCCAGTTTTCTTGGACAAGTTCCTCATTCTCCAAGCTGGCCTGGATTGGCTGTCAGGACAAGAGGCCCCAGCGATCAAGCTCTCTCTTGACCGCTGCTGTCCCAGAAAGGTGTGATGCAGTCCCCCCAGGAGGCAGTCTTCCCACCCACAGCTTAACAGCACCACAAACAGGTCAAGCTGGCAGGTAGAGCAAGGGAGATACTTGCTGAAATCCGGAGCCATTTCTGCTTGCAGATATCCGACTGCGATAGTTCAAGGACTCCAGTTTTACTTTCCTTTCTCTGATACATTTCCTGCTTCAGTCCACCCCTTTACAGGAGGAGTTAGGAAGGGTTCGCCAGCGGTTAGGGAAGGAACTGATTTCCTGCTGACAGGCAGTGAGCAAAGCGCAACACAGAGACTGGCTCATTTCCATAGCTGTCAACGTTTCCCTTTTTTAAAGGGAAATTCCCTTATTCCGAATAGGATTCCTCGCAAGAAAAGGGAAAAGTTGACAGCTATGCTCATTTCTCAAATGCAACTCTCCTTGGTGCTCTTTGACCGGATGGGCACACTTCAGCGGCGTGGTTCATCACCCAAAGAACATATCAGCTCAACGAAAATAAGGGAGCATTTATTCTGAAAGGCGCGGTAGATGTTCTCTGCGTCAAACGCAACTCCCCACCTTCTTCTTCTCCGCCCGCCTCTATACACCTCTCAGAGGATTTTCCTTCAAAGTGTAGCGAATCTCTTAAAGGTATATCTCCAAGCCATAAGAAATTACAAACCACACCTCTGCCTCACACTAGGGTTACACTTAAATAAAGCAGCCCGGCCCCAACACGTGCGCAACACCCCACGAAAGGGTAAACGATATTCTTTATGATAAAGGTCGGAGAAGCTGAGTCTGCAAAACACGCTTATTTCCACATGCGGAGCCCGCTGGGTGCTGGAAATGGAACGTTGGAACGAAGAGACAGAGAGCCCTGTCAATCAAGCAGCAGGGTGCCCCGTAAAACAGCGGGACTCCAATGACCAGCGCAAACCTCTTATTAAAGTTCTCAAATAAAGGAAAACAACACTCCAGCTTCTGCTTTCATCAAAATAAAAGTTTTATTTCCACCTCTCTGCACAAATGTCCCCAAGGAAGACGAATAACACTGTATCAATGTATCGATAGACTTGGATGTATCAATACGCTTAAATGTATCCTGTCTGTATCTTGAAATCAACATATTGTTTCACCGATAATATCATTGTTACTGTATCTTCCTTTCCCAGCACCTGGAGGAAATAATAGTTATTATTATTATTACAGTGGTACCTCGGGTTAAGTACTTAATTGGTTCCGGAGGTCTGTTCTTAACCTGAAACTGTTCTTAACCTGAAGCACTATTTCTGGGTTAGCGGAGTCTGTAACCTGAAGCATATGTAACCTGAAGCATATGTGACCCGAGGTACCACTGTATTTAGCTCCGCCTGGAAGCACCCTCCTGTCATTTGCCAAATAAAAAATTGGTTCAAAGTGCGTACTGCTTGAATACTCTTCCATCATGTGGAAGAGATGGGGGGAAATGGGATAACCCCAAAATGGCAATATGGCAAACACATGTTACATCGCACAGTGGCATGTAATAATTTTAGCAAAATATTTTGCATTACTGCCCATTTGGAAAAAAGTAGGTTTTTGTTCTGGTTGAAAAGTCATATGGTTCATTCCCCCCAAAATGCAGGAACAGGCAGCCTGCAAGGCAATTTTTGAGATAGTGTACATAAGCCTGAGATCTGATGGACAGCACTGGTGTTACTCCTCTTGCAGTGAATGTACCTAAGAGAGCCAGTAGAGGGCGCCTCATGATCATCCCTGCTGAATTTCAAACAGCTCTTCAAGGCCATAACTTGACTTGGTTTTTGTTTCCTTCCTTCCTGCTAGAAACGTGGAGATAAGGTGGAAACACAGTTGACATCTAGGGATGAGCACATGGGCCAAAAGAAGAGTCATGGGGAGGGAGGGAGAACTTTTCAGATTGGAACAGGGCCATTTCCTTTATTCCTACTAGACTCGCCATTCTCTCACAACACCACTACTTAGCAAACAGTTTACTTTTTCCCTTTCCTGATGATAATTCTCTGTCCCACTGTTTACTATCTCTGACCCCTGTCCTTCCCTCTGTGAAACTTTTCTGTCCTCAGTGCTCACTATCAGCTTTCATCTGAAGCTGTTTGTTTAATTGCTGAACAGTTTGAAAGTTTGTAAATATTTCAGTGACACCATAGCCATTGAGACAATGACTGGATCCTCGCCAGGATCTAAGAGCCAAAGCTACAGTCAACACTTTTTTTTCCTTTCAGAAGCATATCCTCCAACATTCCGCTGATGAAAACAGGGAAAAGAAAGAGAGCACAAATTTGGTCTGAAGCTCAACATCAAAAAAAAACACGAAGATCATGGCCACTGGGCCCATCACCTCCTGGCAAATAGAAGGGGAAGAAATGGAGGCAGTGAACGATTTTTACCTTCTTGGGCTCCATGTTCACTGCAGATGGTGACAGCAGCCACGAAATTAAAAGACGCCTGCTTCTCGGGAGAAAAGCGATGGCAAACCTAGACAGCATCTTAAAAAGCAGAGACATCACCTTGCCAACAAAGGTCCGTATAGTTAAAGCTATGGTTTTCCCAGTAGTGATGTATGGAAGTGAGAGCTGGACCATAAAGAAGGCCGATCGCCAAAGAATTGATGCTTTTGAATTATGGTGCTGGAGGAGACTTTTGAGAGTCCCATGGACTGCAAGAAGATCAAACGTATCCATTCTGAAGGAGGTCAGCTGTGAGTGCTCACTGGAAGGACAGATCATGAAGTTGAGGCTCCAGTACTTTGGCCACCACATGAGAAGAGAAGACTCCCTGGAAAAGACCCTGATGTTGGGAAAGATGGAGGGCACAAGGAGAAGGGGACGACAGAGGACGAGATTGTTGGACAGTGTTGTCGAAGCTACCAGCATGAGTTTGACTAAACTGCGGGAGGCAGTGGAAGACAGGAGTGCCTGGAGTGCTCTGGTCCATGGGGTCACGAAGAGTCGGACATGACTAAACGACTAAACAACAACAACAACAGAGTGAGGCACCACAAGATGGGTGCTACGTGAGTCAGCTGCTAGTGCGATAGGCAGAGGTGCCAACTTGAATAAAATATCGGGGGGGGGGGGCAGGTAAGCCACGTCCCACATAATCAATGACATGGCACAAACAGACCATTTGAATGGTAATGCCCTTCAACACTGGGAGGCCCCAGCCCCCTCAAATATTTGATTGGGGAGCCAGAGACCCCCTCAGCCCCTAGGAGGTGGCTCCTGTCAGGAAGCATGCTGAGGAGGGCTGCTCTGAGGAGAAATGGTGGGAGCCTCCCCCTCCCCCTCCTCCTGATCAGGATCCCAAATCTTAGCTTTCCAGAAGCAGGAGGACAGTATAGATTTGGACCAGTGGTTTGCAGAGGAACATAGTTCAGAAGGCAGAAGCTGGGAAATACTGGATGGGGAACAGTTAGCAGGGGTCAGCAAACTTTTTCAGCAGGGGGCAGTCCACTGTCCCTCAGACCTTGTGGGGGGGGGCAGACTATGTTTTTTGGGGGGGAATGAACAAATTCCTATGCCCCACAAATAACGCAGAGATTTTCTACTCATGTAAAAATACACTGATTCCCGGACTGTCCATGGGCCTGATTTAGAAGGTGATTGGGCTGGATCTGGCCCCTGGGCCTTTGTTTGCCAACCCATGAGTTAGGAGAAGAAGCACTGGGGGAGTGTTAACAAATTCACTGTCTCTGGAAAGCATTCATCCGCTCAGCCCAAGGTCAAGAAGAGCTGATAAGGTGGCAGAACAGAAAGCACAGTAGTTACAAGATGTAGTAGTGATGTGGGTGACTAGGGAGGAAGTGGGTGGAAGCCTTATTTGGGAGCACCTTCATTCCTAGGAATGGATTACTTGTTCTCTCACTGTGATCATTAAATAAAAAATAATTAAATAATTAAATTAAAAAAATTGTCCAGTAGCACCTTAGAGACCAACTAAGTACAGTGGTACCTCGGGTTAAGAACTCAATTCGTTCTGGAGGTCTGTTCTTAACCTGAAGCACCACTTTAGCTAATGGGGCCTCCCGCTGCCGCTGAGCCACCACTGCACAATTTCTGTTCTCATCCTGAAGCAAAGTTCTTAACCTGAGGTAATATTTCTGGGTTAGCAGAGTCTGTAACCTGAAGCATATGTAACCTGAAGCATATGTAACCCGAGGTACCACTGTATGTTCTGGGTATAAGCTTTCGTGTGCATGCACACTTCTTCAGATACACAGAAAAATCTGAAGAAGTGTATCTAAAGAAATGTGCTTGCACAAGAAAGTTTATACCCAGAACATACTTAGTTGGTCTCTAAGGTGCTACTGGACAATTTTTTTATTTATCTCGACTGCGTCAGATCAACACGGCTACCTACCTGAATCTGGGATCATTAAAGTTTCTAACCGGTAAGAAGCCTCCGTTTCCTTTGTTCTGCTTATCTCTGCCAAAGCAGTGTGTGTGTGTGTGTGTGTGTGAGAGAGAGAGAGAGAGAGAGAGAGGTGTGGCGGTGGTGCTTCAGGATCTCCGTGTCGGCGCCCGCCCGCCCGCCCGCTGCGCACTTCCCCTGGAGGCCGGGGGGAAAGAGAGCCAAAGAGAGCCACAGAGCCGGAGCGGCAGGGAGACCGAGCAACCCACAGCCTCACGCCCCCCCCCAGATGCTCCAGATATGGTTTACTTGGGCTCTATGACCAATTTTGACTTGGCTTATGCATGGACTCAAGATAAATGTGTTCCACTTGTTCGTGAAATTACGTTTGAGAATGGAGAGGAATTGACAGAAGAGGGTCTTCCTTTTCTTATACTCTTTCATATGAAAGATGACACAGAAAGTCTAGAGAAGTTCCAGCAGGAAGTTGCACGGCAGTTAATAAGTGAAAAGGGTACGATAAACTTTTTACATGCTGATTGTGACAAGTTCAGACATCCACTCCTCCACATTCAGAAGACTCCAGCAGACTGTCCTGTTATTGCTATTGACAGTTTTAGGCACATGTATGTCTTCCCAGACTTCAGCGATGTGGCTACTCCAGGTAAACTCAAGCAATTTGTACTAGATTTGCACTCTGGGAAACTGCACAGGGAATTTCACCATGGCCCAGATCCAACTGATGTAGCACCTGGTCAGCCACTTCAAGACATAGTAAGCAGCCCACCTGAAAGTTCATTCCAGAAGCTAGCACCCAGTGGACATAGATACACCTTATTGCGGGAAAAAGATGAACTCTGAAAGCTCGAAACCATCTCATAAGCCTTTCAAAACAGCAGCCGTGACTCCTGTGGGGTGGAAATAGGAAACCTATATTTTCATAAATTCTCTGTGTTTTTATTTTTAATCTTTTTTTTTCTTTGCTCCCTGCAGTTTGTAAATACGTTAGTGTCATTTTGGACAGCATCTTTCCAAAATTCTTATTTCA